CACAGTCTGCATTAATTGATTTTTCCTGTCATGATGTAGTTATAAATTTGACCACAAGAGGGGGATAACATCCAACATTTACTTCCTCAATCTGTTGATGTTTAAACAGTTGCATCTACACCAATACATGTTATATAGGTAAATAAAATACTGTATATTGACAATAATTTATGACATTTATTGAAAAATAAAATAAACACGAGCAAAAGCAACATGAAGACTAATATTACATTGAGAATACGGACGTGCAGTTTTTAGCACAAAATAAAATTTAAGACACTTTTTCTTAAATCATATATTTATACATTTCTTGGTTAAGCACAATTGCACCGTTTTGAAGACATTTCAGCATTTTGCTTGTAGTAGCATTTAATGACCAGCAGGTGTCGCTCACACCTGAATAATGTTCCTGTTCTGGCGTATGAACTCAAACCAGTTTAACTTTCGTGCTCAAAATATGAAACCAGCAATAAAAATAAAGTTTAATTTTGTAATTTGTTTATATTTCAAAAATTGTTCTTGCAGGTTTTTTTTTTTACATAAATATCTATTTCATAATAAATCAACATACAGTATTTCAGGTATAAAACTATTTTATACTGTACCTGTAAAAAAAGGAATACACATACATTAAATTATTATTTAATGGAGTATTACTGGTATTATTGGTGAAAGGATGTCTGCTTTGTGTGAAACTTTCCTACAGTGGGAAACATGTTCTTGATTCACTTTATAGGAACATTATCTTTATGGGCTATGAATTAATTTAGTGTTTAACTCAATAAATTGGGACATAAATTGTATATTTTCATTCAATATTACCACTTTATGACCAGTTCAAATTTATGAATCAATAACAATGACAACATTTTATGGAAAATCAATAATATTTATATAACTTCATCTCTTCACCCTAAATATTTATCAGATCTCAACAACCAAGGGCTGAATCTGTTCATTACGGGGAGCTGTTATCATAACTTCTTATAACTAAATAGACCACGTTTGTATTTTTAGGGTTCTATCACAAAAATAAAATGAATCTACCATAAATAAAATCAATAACCAATAAATCAAATTAAACAAACAACTAACAGTAAAAAGTTGGGAGTATAATTTTGTTTGAGCATCAAATATTTATTGATCTGAACCTGTTTAAACAGAACTAGAGAAAAATCATTTGAACAGGATGCTTGATTAAGATCTCAGTTTAAGAGCAATAATTTGTACAATTTAGATGATTTTTTATACATATTTTCAGTGTAGAGTTTAGGTCAGAAGATTGTTAATAATTCTCCCAGATTGTTAGTAAAATATCAGATTAAAAGTGAAATATTTATCAACTTGCACCGGTTTAAATTGTCATAACGGTACAAGACATATAGCTTTCTCATCACCAGGAGGAAGAGTACTGAATCGAGGATGTGAGGCCAGCTGTCTTCGTCAGTGACGTTGATGGAACCTGAGCAGAACCACGGGGATGAGGCAGGCAGAAGATGAAGGTCAGGGGGTCAGCATTTTGTCCAAGGTCACCCGAGGTTGTGGCAAAGACTTGGAGAAGTGGTCTGAAACTCGTCAGCGCATGGTGTTGGAGGGTGTTGCTGCAGCTAGGAGTGATATTTCGTTAAAAACTGGACTTATCTTTTAAAATGACAAATGGTTTGTGTTGTTTAGCTTTTCTTGGAGCTGAAAACAAACTTTAGCTTTGCTAAATTTATTGTTAACTTGAGCCTTTATTACATTTTCTACTGCTGGACTTTACGAAATGAAGACAATAGGTTAAACAAAACGTAAGGAGGCCAAACGTGAGGTTTAAGGACAAAGATGAACAAAAAGCCAATCGATCAATCAATTCCACTTTATTGTCCATAGCATTCAATGAAATGGAGATTTGTCTTTGACATCTGGCTTACAAAAACAACACACGATAAAATAGTGATTAAAAAAAACTTTAAAACCAAGCTTTGCTAAACCAATTAAAAACATTCAGTTAAAACCATTCGAAAATACACGATACATTAAAACATGTGATCAAAAGTGATGGGACATCAAATTATTGTCAGAGACTCAGATTCTGACAAGCATCTGCACAGATGGAGCTCGTCTCTTCCTTTTCAAAATCCAGTTCAGTTAAATTCAATTCAGTTTATTTGTGCCAAGTCACAACAGAAGTCGTCTCAGGGCACCGAAACAGAAACATTCATATATATATATATATATATATATATATATATATATATATATATATATATATATATATGTAAAGTCAGTTAATAACATTATTTATCTAAGGAGGC